ACAGGATCTCGCCCTGGAGTGCAGTGACATTGTCATAGCTCACTGCAGCCTCCGTCTCCCACACTCAATCCTCCTGCCTTGGCCTTGCAAAGTGCTGGGGTTGTTTTGGTTTTTGGTTTTTGTTTTGAAACAGGGTCTCGCTCTGCCGCCAAGGCTGGAATGCAGTAGCACAAGCTTGGTCTACTGCAGCCTCTGTCTCCTGAACTTGAGCAATCCTCCTGCCTCAGCCTCCTGAGTAGCTGGAGCTACAGGCGCATGCCATCAAGCCTGGCTAATTTTTGTATTTTTAGTAGAGATGATGGGGTCTCACCATGTTGCCCAGGCTAGTCTGGAACTCCTGAGCTCACATGATCCACCTGCCTCAGCTTCCCAAAGTGCTGGGATTACAGGTGTAAGCCACTGTGCCCGGCCCAGAATCTGCATTTCAGATACATGTCTGAGGTAGCTGTGAGCTGTCCCATTTAGAGGAATAAGGTGGGAAAGAGTCCTCAAGAAAACAAGGGTGTCCCATTGCTGGTGGCGGGTGCAGCAGTGATAGATAAAGAATCTTGGCTCAGTTAATCTAAAACGCAAGGGAGGAGTCCTGAGTGACTGGCAGCTTTGTCTCCAGTAGCAGCCCAGTCCCTTATCTTGGGATTAGCGGAGAGCCACATCTCTGCTTTCTCATGCATTTAAAAAAACCACACACACACACATACACACAATCCTGCTTGGTCTGGGAGTGGGCAGAAGACATTGTTAGGATTGCAAATGCATTCAGTGAAGCCCTCCTAATTACTGAATACATGTTAGAAAAATTCTGTAAAGAAAAATTTGCTCGTCACCACCTTCACACGACTGTTTGCATTTTACCCGCTGTACCCAGCCTACCCTTGTGCAAACAGATTTTTACATGGCTGCAACCAGAGAGCAAACGGTTGATTACTCCTTCATTCCCTAATACATCCCTACATTGAATTTCTCCTTTCCATTCTACCACCTGTTCTCCAGGGGCTGGATATCACAAGCATCTCACCCCAGGCTCGAGGAGAATGTCACAGACTCAGGGGCCCTACCGAACTCGAATCCCACTCTCTGAGACTTTAAAATAGCCTTTTCATGGCTCGGTTTCCCCTAGTCTACAGCAGTGTTAGGAAGAGGCGCTGAAGCAGGCAGGGGCAGGAAGTGCTCCATGCTGGGAATGATTTCACAATAATAAATCATGCCTTAGAGCAGGGGGCAGTAAACTTTTTCTGTGCAGGGCCAAAGAGTAAATATTTAGCCTTTGCAGGCCATAAGGTCTCTTTTGTAACTACTCAACTCTAGCCATAGGTCATATGTAAATGAGGGGCATAGTTGGCTATGTTCTAATAAAACTTTATTCCCGGCCGGGCGCGGTCGCTCATGCCTGTAATCCCAGCACTTTGGGAGGCTGAGGTGGATGGATCATGAGGTCAAGAGATCAAGACCATCCTGGCCAACATGGTGAAACCCCGTCTCTACTAAAAATACAAAAATAGCTGGACATGGTGGTGTGCGCCTGTAGTCCCAGCTACTCGGGAGGCTGAGGCAGGACAATGGCTTGAACTCAGGAGGCGGAGGTTGCACTGCGCTGAGATTTCACCACTGCACTCCAGCCTGGCGACAAAGCAAGGCTCCATCTCAAAAAAACAAAAACTTGATTCCCCAAAGCAGGCCATGGGCCAGAATGGAGCCAGCACTGTACTTTGCCAATCCTTGCTTTAGAGCAAGCTTGTCCAACCCACAGCCCAACACAAATTTGTGGACTTTCTTAAAATATTATGAGGGTTTTTTTTTTTTTTTTTTGCATTGCTTTGTTGTTTTTTAGCTTATCAGCTATCATAAGTGTCAGTGTATTTTATGTGTGGCCCAGGGAAGCCAAAAGATTGGATACCCTGCTTTAGAGCATTTAGTTTTAATGCTCTTCGAAGCACTGCCATAAATACCACTTCAGGCACTTACCCTGCAGGCGGCCTGGACACTATCCCCTTTAATAAAAGAAAAAATGGAGGCCCAGAGAGTGCTTAGCCCCACGTGTTGACAGAGACAGGATGCCAAGGAAGGGCTGCACCTGCATCCCATCACAGAATCCCCAACCTTCGTCCCTCCTCTCACTAACTCCAAGCAGAGCAGGGAGGAGGACCTCTGCCACGCCCAGTGGCATCCCAGGGAACGCCCCGGAAACACTGGGGTGCCGTTCTGCTGGATGCATGTTTTCCACCCCTCTGTGTGCAGGCAAGACCAGGCTGAGTCAGCTGGAGGCCCTGCCCTGCCTTGAGGAATGGGAGGAGCTGTCCTTTGCATTAAAAAAAAAAAAAAAAAAAAAAACCGGCTCTGCCCAGGCCGATGAGGGCAACAGCTGGTTGGAGGTGACAGGGCACCAGGCTCTCTTCTCTCACCAGAGTGCTGATGCCAACTAGCAGCCTGCTCAGCCCAGGCAAAATGTGGAAGTGGCTGAGAGGCATGGCTGAGGTCTCCCCTTGGGGGAAGAAGGGGATGTGTGTGTGGGGGTGAGGGGGTGCTGTATGGGTGTGTATGAGGTATTTTCCAGGCAGATGCCCTTCAAGTAAAATTCACCCTTGAATTGCCATCCTCTGCAGAGTTAATTCAGCACATCCACTAGGAGTGTGATCTCTGGCCAGGGACGGTGGCTCATCCCTGTAATCCCAGCACTTTGTGAGTCCGAGGTGGGCAGATCACAAGGTCAGGAAATCAAGACCATCCTGGCCCAACATGGTGAAACCCTGTCTCTACTAAAAATATAATAATTAGCCAGGCATGGTGGCACATGCCTGTAGTCCCAGCTACTTGGGAGGCTGAGGCAGGAGAATTGCTTGAACCTGGGAGGCAGAGGATGCAGTGAGCCTAGATCGCGCCACTGCACTCCAGACAAGTGACAGAGAGAGACTCTGGGAAAAAAAAAAAAATAGCTGGAGCCTGACTGCCTGGGTTCAAATATTGGTTTTGCCTCTCAAGGGAGATTTTGGAGGTCATGGGAATGTTCTAAAACCAGATAGTGGTGATAGTTGCACAACTCTGTAAACAGTCTACTAAAAATCACTGAATTGTGGACTTCGAAAAATCTCGCTTCCAGCATTGAAAGCTGTGTGATCTTGGGCATATTACTTAACCTCCCCGCACCTCAGTCTCCTCATCTGTCAAACAGGAATGATAATAATAGTACCTGACTCCAGCTGAGATTTCAACGAATCAGTAACATGAAGATTTTAGAAAGTCACCTTGCACCTAAGAACGGATAGATAAATGCTCGTTCCATGGTGTTTCCGTTGCGACGGAAAGAAGTGTTCGGGCTCACAGGCACTTGCCCGTATGCCTGTGTCTGGGAGTGCCTACACCATGCCTCCGCTTGCCCTGTCCTCCTGGTCTTTGCCTCTACTGTTTGTTTTGCCAGGAATGCCCTTTCCTCTCAGCTCCAATGCTAGTTCCACTCAGAGGTC